GTCCCGGAGCTCTCACTTTTGAGTTCCATAGAGGTTCTACATAGGAGGTTTGTGTGCGGTTCTTGCTAGGAATGAAAAATGAAGTGTAGTGTTGGAGTGAGTTCTTGAAAAGAGAGCATTGGTCGCTAAATGTATAGGTGGCAAAGTTTTTACTCTCTAGTACCCCCCTTGAAAAGAAAAGAAAATGAAAGGAAAAAAAAGAAAAGAGAAACAAAAAAGATGTAATAAAACGGGGTAAATAAAGTAGAGAGTGCCACGGAAAACCAAAGTGTATGCTCTAGGGGGGTTTCTTGGCAATCAAGCCATTGAAACCCCCCACATTTTTTTAGAACTCCTTCACTACCAAACATTAATGTGCTAGCAAGAGTTGACCGAGGAAGAGTGATTTGATGTTGTTCACGACGGGTGATAGGTTGGAAGGGAGAGATAAGGTTTTTGGCCGATGCTAGTGGCCTTTGGCTGAGGAGAAGGGTTTTAGTCGAAACCATAGAAACTTCGGGTCTAGGTTGAAGATGTAGAACCTCAAGTCATGATTGCCACCACTCAAAAAAGCCTTTTTTCCATTTAGAGGTTACCGTCGTGGTATTGAGATTATAGGGCCGAGTGTTTATGATTGTGCACATCTTTTGCACCAAAAAGGTCCCGACCCCACTTGTATTGAGAGTGAGTGATTCATTCTTGTTTTGCATGTCATATCATACCTCGGTGAGGACCTTTGTTGCCTTTCCATTTGTTCCTCGTACTTGAATTCTATGCATGGTTGGTTGTGGTTGATAAGTGGTATTGTTGAGACTTGCATTGATCCATGAACAAGGTGAGAACTTTTCGTTTGCCCACTTTTGGTGGCCTCGAATGTTGTTTGTGGTGGATGTTGGTATTGCTTGGTCCATGCATTAATTGTCAATAGCCATTGAGAATTCCCACTTTGTGCCCTTTGAGTTGTCCCCAAAGTATGTTTGTAGGTTGAAATATTACCTTGGGTGAAATGGTTTGCTTGGGGATAAGCAAACGTTTAAGTGCGAGGGAGTGATTCGGGCCTAATTGTACACATTTTACCACCATTTTCCTTAGGTGTTTGTGCCAATTGTGTTCCTAAAAGTGTGGTTTTACGCTAGGTTTCTTGTCTTTTAGCATGTTTCAGGATTTAACAGGTGAAACCAGCCCCAGAGTCGAAAGTTGGACGAAAAGGAGCGAAAACCGGAAGAATAGGAGAAAAGGAGAAAAGGAGGCAGTTCACAGTCTGCTTAGACCGTGAAGAGGAGCTGTTACCCATGAACATCAAGGCGTCCAGGGCCAAATCTCAAGTTACTGAAGCTAATTGAGTTCACGGTTACTAAGACCGTGAACAGGAGCTATTGCCCGTGAACCCGTGCAAGCGAAGCGGTGCATTTTGACGACCATCTTGAGTTCATGGACGCGTTTCAGAGTTCACGCCCGTGAACTGAGACCGTGAACTGACCACGATCCCTGTTTAAAGAAGAGCTGAAAGGAAGAGAGAGGGGAGAGCCCATTGAGTGAGAAAGTCTTCTTCTTCAGATTTTAGAGAGAGAAAGACAAACCAAAGAAGAAGAAGGCTAGGGTTAGGAAGTGAAGCGGTGTATTTTGGCCCACGACACTGAGTTCACGGACACGCTTAGGTGTTCACGGCTGTGAACTAGGTGTGATATGGGTTTAGATGAGGAGCTGAAAGGAAGGAAGGGGGCTATATTTTTAGGTTAGGTTTTAATTTTCAGAATAAAGAGGGTTTCTAGTGAGAGACTAGGGTTTCCTCTTCCCATTCTAGAGAGAGAAAGTGTCATTCAAAGGAGAAAGAAGGAGATTTGGGCTTTCCCTAAGCTATAGGAGTGAAGATTCTTACCTCTCAAAGGAGATTCAACCAAGGCGGAAGGAAGATTGTCATCTCTTCATGTTTCTTTCTTGCCTTTTTCTTGTTTTCCTTTGTCTAGCTATGGAATAGCCCACCTACTCACTTGGGTATTGTGAATCCTAGTATATATATGTGTTACGATGTAAGAACATGATTCTATTGTGTTGATTGTGCGTTTCATATAATATTTGAGGTATTAATCATGATTTGTGGGTGTTGCTTGCATTATCTCATTGTTGATTTGTATACACAACTAAACAATCATTCATAAATTGGTAATTCAATCAATTCCGAAGATTGTTCTTGATTACCTTCATAGCTAAAAAGGTCTTTGAAAACTTGTAGTTGCAATAGATAAAGTCATCACTAACTTCAGAACCAAATAAACTAAAGACAATATATATTTATATATTTTATTAACTATATAACAACAAATTTCTTGTAGAATAATAAAGGTGTGTCGCTTACAATTATTGAGGCGTGTCGAAAATCTCGAGTTTCAATTTTTTTTACCATCGAAAGCATGGTCTCTCACAAAATTTTCGAGCTAAAGTGTGTCAGGTGACACACCTTGCTCTAACTTGGGTCCGTCCCTGCAAACCACTTGACAATAATTTACATGGATTCAAGTGATCAGACAGCGATCACATTGGTATGCGAAGGTCAATAATCAATGGATCTTAGAGTGCCATGATAATCATATGACCTTGAGAGAAAACGATTCACCGTTAAGAACGTTAACGGGACAATCATCTTATGGATAAATTAATAAGCTGATGAGCCTCCACTGTCGCTATAAGTTGCTCGACCCGATGGCACTGTCTTCGTCTCTATGCAACAAAAGGTATGTTATTTAATTTAAGTCTATCAAATTTCTCCTTCTCTTGGTTTTCATGTGTACTTAGAGCATTTTTACTATGCTATATAGCATTGGTGTTTTAATGTACAACTCAAAGTTGTACCATAACATTAAATGTATAAGTTTAAGTTGTACCATAAAGCAATTTGTATCATTATGTTATGGTACAACTTTACAATTTGAATTTGTACCATCACATAAAGGTACAAGTTTAAGTTGTACCATAAAAAAATTTGTGCAAAAAGTATAAGTACAATCTGAAGTTGTACCATAACGTAAATGTACAATTTTAAGTTGTACCATAAAAGTAAGAACCTATAACACCAATACTATATAGCATTGTAAAATTTCTTGTGTAATTATATGTTCCACTGTTCTGCCATCATCTCGGCTTGCATGATGGAGTGGCGATGGAGAAAGATGATAGTAATTTGGAAGATGGAACATGGTAAAGAACGGGAGTTGATAGAAAGGAAGGTACATACCAAATTATCATTTTTAAAAGGGCGATATTAATTAGTTTTTATTATTAGGTGCTAATGCTATTTAAGGTATTTGACCTAAAACTTTAGGATTAAAGATCAGTGATAGTATCATTAGACCAACCTCTTGTTTACATGATCGTTTGGGACCAAATGAATCGAGAATTCATTTCATTGTAAAATGAATTATTGTGTAGAATTCATTGTCAAATGAAATCCTATGTTTGGTATGTTATATTCAAATCATGGAAGTGTCGTGTAGAATTCATTGTTAAATTAATTTCTGTGTTTTGTATGTTATATTTATAAGTAATTTAGTTAATAAAAGAGGGTAATTATGTCATTTTATTATAATTAGTAAATACTTGTGGAATTCATTGTGAAATTTTATCTCAATTCCTCGGAATTGCTATAACTAGTTCCAATTCGTAGAATTCAAAATTTAGAATTAAAAATGAATTCTTTTAATACCAAACACAAAAATATTTCATTTCGAAATGAATTGCTTAAAACTTAGGGTGTGCCTACGGTGACATGCATGTCACGGTGACTTGCACTTTCCGGTCGACCTCAGTTAGAATTAGGTCGACCTCAGTTAGAATTCGGTCGACCTCATATAGGATCCGGTCGACCTCATTTAGGATTCGGTCGACCTCATATAGGATCCGGTCGACCTAATATGTTGTTTCAGTGTAAAAACAGTTCATGGTGCCTACTTTGGATATTCATATCATACAATTGGCTAGATGGAAATTAAAGACTAATGACTTGTTTTGAAGCTGGAGTGTCCCTCTACATATTGAAGTGATTGAGAGCTCGATAGGAAGTTCAGAAGACCATTTTTGAACCTCATCAAAAGGCTATGCCAAAACTGGGAAACTGCCTAGAAATGGCTAAGTCTGGAAACGTGTTTGTGAAGCCTATTTTTGAGCTCAATTCGAGAAGCATGAATGCGAGTCGAGTCCAGGAGCCTCTACCACGTTAAATTATGTATGTTTTTATACAAATTCAAGGAATTGGATGAAAGATTGGCTATCTTTAAGACTTCAAACAAAAGGGCCGAAGTTGCTACGAAGGCTGTTTTTCTGGCAGACTTCGAGCACAAGCAAGCTGCCAGAAAAACAGCCTTCGTAGCAACTTCGAGCCTTTTGTTTGGAGCCTTAAAGATATTCAATCTTTCATTCAATGCCTTGCCTTTGTATAAAAAATTACGTAATTTAACGTGGTAGAGGCCCCTTGACTTGACTCGCATCCATGCTTCTCAAATTGAGCTCCAAAGTAGGCTTGACAAACACGTTGCCAGACTTAGCCATTTTCAGGCAGTTTCCCAGTTTTGGCATAGCCTTTTGGTCAGGTTCAAAAATGGTGTTCTGGACTTTCTATTGAGCTCCCAAGTACTTTAATGTGTAGAGGGACACTTCATCTTCAAAACAAGCCTTTAATCTCCAATTTCCATCTAGCCAATTGTAAGATATGAATCTCCAAAGTAGGCACCATGAAACTGTTTTTACACTGAAACAACTGATTAGGTCGACCGGATCCTATATGAGGTCGACCGAAAAGTGCATGTCACCGTGACATGCATGTCACCGTAGCAAAGTCCTAAAAGTTATGGAATTCATTTATACATACGGTATGAATTAAATTAGTATGGTGATTGTCCCGTTTTAACATGCTATCTAGTTCCCAGTTTTGAAAATTGGTCTTGGAGGCGTGAAGAGACTTTCCAAAGAGCTTTTGAATATAATAACAATTTTTCTTAACAGAGGGTGAAAATTTAGGAAATTTATAAGGTGTATTAATTTATAGATAATTGTTGTCATAAGGAAGACTAAATAATTTCTCATTTTAAATCAGGACAATAGTAGTAATATGAGGAGCTGCACACTTCAATGCAGTTTAACCAAAGCCGCAGTCGAAGTCTAGGCCTATACCACTAGTCTAAATAACAAAACCGACTACCCCGGACCAAATGACAAGTTTACAACACAGAATTCAAATGAGCTTGTTTGGATGCAAATCACTCAGCACTACCTCAACTTCTTTCACAACGCCCAACCTTCCAAACCACCCAGCCAACACAGCTGAAGCTTCTTTCCCAGCCAAAACTCCATCCTTCTCCAAACCCACTAGAAACTCCAACGCTTTGTCCAGCTTCTCCTCCTTCTCGTACGCTGCCAGAACCAGAGCCACACACTTATCGTTCAGCTTGACACCAGCCCCTCTCATGTTCTCAAATGCAACACGCACCAGCTGGCTCTCACCCGCCATTTCATAAGCATTTAGGAGGAGAGCACATACCCTGGCATCAGGAACAATACCTGCAATCTGCATTGCATCAAACACCCTCTGAGCTCCTTCCACGTCACCTGTCATGGAGAAAGTTCTCAGCAATGCTTTGTAAACTTCACGTCCAGCGGTGACTTCTTGGTCATCCATTTGCTTGAGTAGAGATTCTGCTTCTTGAAGCATTCCAGCTCTGATGTAGGACATTACCATCGAGCCGTATGATCTTTGATCCAATGGTTGACCGAGCAGAAGGAGCTCTTCGAAGATTTGCTCGGCCTTCTTGTGGTGGCCCGCCTTGCTGTACATGTGAATCATTGCAGTTAATGTTATTTGGTCATAGAGCAAACCTCTTTCTTTCATGCATGAGAAACTCCTTTCAGCATCTTCCAGCTGCTTTTGCTTCCCATAGAAGTGGATTAGTTTTGTGTAGTCACGGGTATTTGCCTCAAAGGATTCTTCCAGCAAAGCAAATTCTGCTACCTGGTAAAGAAGCATAGGACCAGTAACTCTGATGAAACAGCATGTTGTTTGTCTAATTAAATAAATGTGTGATAACAGTCACATGGTATCTAGTTCAATAAATCATATTGTTTTCCCTCGTATCTGCATGATGTAGATTTTTCAGTCATACATATAGCTAATCCCAGTTTCAAAGCTAGAGTAACAAATTCTCAACAGAAAGTTGCAAATGCATTTTCATTCGCAGATTTCAGCAATAAAATTCCTTCAGAGAATTGTAATTAGTAAAATGGTGGCAATATTTCGTCCCAGCTCCAGAAAGTGTGCAGACTTCCTTGATTGTTCCACAACATCTTCAATGTCAATGAGAATTGAAAAAGGCCTACGGATGAAAATGTGGTTCACCAAGAGTACAAGGAACATAGATATTCCAAGTTCATCCATAGTTCAACATAATCACACAAGACAAAATCAAGAAATGCAAAATGCCATACGGCAGTGAAAAGCAAACATAACAAGTGTCAGAAGAGAATCATAGCTACAGTATCAGCTCTACTTTACACTCTGTTGCTGCATCCTGGCCACTTCACCTAGTAGCTCAGCAGCGAAAAAAGGCTACAGCATGCAAGTTATACCTGTTGATCCAAACCAAACAGGACTGAACAACAAGCTATAAGCTGTAGAGGCTTCTCAGTGTTCCAATGATCAAAGAACTTAAATTCTGAAAGACCTACAGAAGTGAATTTTGGCAAGATTTCACCGCCCAGGACAAACCAGAGGGTTAACCAAATAAAAGAGACTGCCAAAACTTGAAAGCATTTATACAAAGTTCTGACCTTTGCACAGAACCCAAAAATACATCCCAAACATCTCACGAGACTACCACCAAATGAGAACCAGAATCCAAGACGCTCAGGCGGTCCCCATCAGTAGTACTAATCCAAGTTTCAAGTGGACTGAAGGTTGGAGCAGGCCAACGGCCAGAACAACCGAATTCAACTGGCGACGGCCGGAAATGGAAATTACTTCGGCAAATGGGAATAAGGAAGAGGGGAAAAAGTGTACCTGAACGTAAAACGGATGCTCGGTGTCCTTGAGTTGCTTGAGAACCGAAAGCCAATCTGCTCTCCTGGGATTCATGATCCTGGCCCAAGCACTCAACAAATCTCGCAAGCCCCCCTTGTCGTCGGAGAAGCAAATTATCTGTTTCATCACCGCTTTGCATCGGTTGGTCATCACCGGCGGGAGCTCCGATATGGCCTGTCTCTGTAGCTTCGTGATATTGGGGCCAATCTCCCTCCATTTCGACCTGACTGTCTCTCCTTCCGTTGCAACTTGTTCGTCCGGCTTCTGATGGTTAGCGGTCACGAGGGATTGAGTACGGCGTTTACCGTTACTGCGAACTGAACCCCTAAATGTTTCAGAGAAGGCTTTCCCGAGGACTTGACCGCAGGGGGAATCTTCTGGTTTGAGATAGGGGGAGCGAATTGGGTTAGGGAATTGGAGAATGGTTGTCGCCATAACCGAACAAAGAAGGTGAAAGATACCTCGTCGTATCAAGTAAATACAATAGATTAGGGCTTCCAGCAGACCATTACCCCTAAAATTGCTGGAAATTAGTTAGCTTCAACTCCAAGGAAATAATAAAGTCCCTCCTTTGACCATAGATCGGAACTCCAACTCTAAATGGTGACCGGAAAAGAATTGTTTGTAGGATAGGGCATTCAATAGACTGAGGATGTTTGGAAGTTAGAATTCTCTAAATTGATGTATTTAATCAATGTATGTATTATAATTAGATGCATTGTTTGAATGTATGAATTTGAAAAATACATTGTTTGGAGATTGAATGATTTTGGTGGTCTCTCAAAGAATAAGGAACAAAAAGTAAGACAACAATTCCTCCTTTTAGCTCGTCACTTTCTCTCTCTATCTTGAAGAAGAAGACCCAAGTCTCTCTCTAGAACTCCTCCTTTGTTTTCTGCTCTCTCTCCTTTATATACTCCAGTTAGACTCATTTGACGGTCAAAAGTCACGCCCATGATGTCCGAAGGTTGCACGTGATCTCGCCACAAGGCGCGTCGTTTTACTAATCATCATCACGGGCTGCTAGAAAATATCACCGTCTGGTGACCGTGATAACTTACTTACCCGCGGGCCATAGGAAACCTGCTGGACGTTGTCCAAAGTCACGGGCTGAGCTCCATCTTCACGGTCTGTTGACCGTGAAAATCTCTCCCACAGCATGATCTCTTCCTTTTGTCCATCTATGCTCCATTTTCACCCTCTTTCGCTCCACTTTCAATCCCAGAGCTAGTTCCACCTGCTGAGAGCTCAAACATGCTTAATTACGCACAAACCTAGCATAAAATTGCTCCTCTAACGATGCGAATGCCACAAACATCACAATATAAAGGTGTACAAATATGTGCAATTACACCCGAATCAAACTCCCACACACTGGGACGTTTGCTTGTCCCCAAGCAAACAAATCTGTAACACCCTAACCCGGCCGGGTACTACTTTTACTAAAATTCCCTTGATAAATAAAATACTCAAATCTTAAACTAGAGCGGGAAAAATTTTAATAAATAAAATACTGAAAACACACACTTGTAGTTCAAAGCAAAGCCCTAACACGTGGGCAAATTAAACTCAAACTTTAAAATCTCAATCTGATCTCCAGTCTATACTCATAATCATAAAATGTAAGTAACTAGGTAGTCTCTGTCGTTGCTGCTACTGAAAATCTTAACTAGGCATCCTCCATGACGCTTGCACTACCCTTCTCTAGCTGACTGCCCTCGAACTTTTCCTCTCGAACTCGCTGCTCTCTAACTGCTCCTCTAGCTAGCTGCTACCGATCTGGTTCTAGCTCATTCCCTTACTAAGGCCTGGTGAGTGAGTTGGGGTCAGTCTACGCCCTTACGTTTTAAACTTTCTAATAATTTTGCACTTCTTCTCAAACACTTAAACTCAAACCAAGGGAAGTTATTTGTACCTCCATTCTTAAAAAGCTTAACTCTTAAAACTGTCTGGGAGTAACAGTTACTCTCCATTCTTAAAGCTTAAATCTCAACTTAAATACTTGACTGACACGGGGATCCCTCACTAGCTAGTCCGTTTGCCCAACTCATACGTATGAGAAGCCATCCAGGCTTTCCTTAAACTTAAACTTAGTTAGGGAAGTCGTAACGATTCATCCCCCTAACATCTTAAACTTATCGTGGTGGCTCTTCACCACGATTCTCAAGAGCATAACTGCTGCCCATCTTAAAAGTCTCAAGAGCATAACTGCTGCTCTATCTCAAAATGTCTCAAAAGGCAACGGACTGGCGCTAGTGACTAAAAACACTTAAAACGACTTCACCTTCTTGAAGGTGAGTTACTTCTTTATAAAGAACTTGTTTCTTAACTTTAACAATAACTTATAAACGGAAAGCTTTAAATTAACTAAGAACTCATGCACATTCACATCAAACATAGCTCAAACAAAATCACATATCATCAACCATAAGCACAATCAAACAACGACAATCATTTCATCAACATACGTAAAGCCTGTAATTCCTGAAAGAACACGTAACGCGTAGAATTTACCCCCTTTACACTCACCTGATTAAATCAAATCGATCCAAGTTTAACTGACCCTGAGAATGTACGTAAAACAAAGCTCCATCAATCCTTCCAAATAATCCCCTCCTGGCATGAATTCACATGGTCTCTGTCAAGATTAATAACCATTTTTCGTCCTCCCCGACATTACGGTGGAATTTGACAAATTTGGACCAAGTGCATAATGGTCATTTCGGCTTAGAAAAAGATGGGGTGTAATAAAATCTCACACAAGTTAATCTTTCAGCCTATAACACAATAACTCGAGGACATGTCAAAGGGCACAAAGAAGATAAATCTCAATGTCTATTTGGCACTGACATATGGAAAACAACAACAATAATCCTGACAACCACCACAAACAACATTCGTATGCATTAAGATAGTGCAAATGAAGAGTTCTCACCTTGTTCAATAACCAATACGTAACATGCTACGGTGACTCTCCAATCACAATTACCCATGCATAAAGATCAAGTCATAAGAACAAACGATCGAACAAACTAGGTCCTCATTGGGATACATGATATGAACAAGATAATATAATTGAATCACTCACTCTTGACTAGTGGGGTCAGGACCATCTTGATGCAAAAAGTGTGCATACTCAAACGCTCAGCCCTATCGTCTCTTTACCATGACGGTAACCTATAAATGCTAGAGTTGACAAGATGGGTGTAATCTCTAGGTTGTCTCGAGGTCTTAGACAAGAGTTCAGATGACTGGCTAGGGTCTAGGACATGGGGGAAAGGCTTTTGGGTAGTGGCACATATAGCATGAGGTTCCACAACCACAGAGAGTTTCCCTAGTCGAATCACAGCCACAGTGAATTTTTACAAGGAGGAAGATCGCGGCCACGACTCACGGATCGCAATCGTGAAGTCAGCTCGCGATCTCCTCAATTCCTAAGGCTAGTACGACCGCATTTCAAGATTGCGACCTCACCATTGGAGATCCCGCCCCTGATCTCTGTCCTTCTGGCCGCAAACTTGTCCGTCCTTTGATTGCCTATAAATATGAGACCCCTTTCCCCCTTTTGGAGGAGTTCATATTGAGAGAAGCATTTCTGGTTTTAGAGAAAGATAAGAGAGAGAAGCTGAAGGAGTGCGAAGAGGAGAAGAAGGAGAAGGAGCTAGAAGAGGAGGCATCTTCCTCCATCTCAAGGAACTACTTCCCTCCTTTGTATCTTCTTCAATTTCTTCTATGTATCTACTTCCCTCCTTTATGGAGTAGTCCTCTAAGGAACTAGGGATTCTAAATCCCAAACCCTAGTTTTAGGGTTTACTATGTATGTATGGATATTTTAGGGTTTGAATGAATGTGTTTATCTAGTTGATTCTATTGCTATTCTATCCTTGATTGTGTTTGGATAAGTCACCCTAATATTCTCTATTAGCCTACTTTATGCTTCTAAACTGGGTATGGAGTTCTAGGGTAAGATGGGTATGCTCCATCAAGCAAATCGACGTAGATGTATGAATAGGGACCTATGGTGGTCGGGGCGACCAAAAGGTAGCCTTCCTAGATAGAACCTGGGATAAAACCTCAGTGTGGACGGTTGATAGTATCCATTGAAATGATCTACGAGCTTAGTGCCCCAGATACGATAGCCAAGATCGAGGTGACTTTCTATGGTTTTAGGGGAGACATACTGGGAGGTGTGTGGACAACCACGAAAGCCCACAGAAACGAGCTTACTCACCACATTTGATAACCCTAAGTATATAGATATACATTGTAGTCCTAGGCTAGGGTGAGGTATAGTTCCCTGAAGTACCCGCTTTTAGCTTTATTTAATCTCTAAACTAGTAAGTCCCTCAAATCCTCCACTCAAACCTCCAAAAACCGATTAACTAATTAACAACAAGGTGGGAAGTAGGCTAGGGTATCGGGACCCGAGTAAAATATGACCTTGATTGACAGTATACGAAAATTCCATCTTAGGTTAAACTTGGCTTATAATGGGGTAGTTGTTGACACGTGAAAACCATTGACAATAATCAGCACGGACTCAAGTGATCAAGCTTTTTGGCATTGTTGCCGTGGAACCTTGGTAACTAGTAGAAAACCATTAAGTTGTTAGTTAGTCTTTACTTTGTTTTGTTTGCTTGTCTTGTTTTGTGTTTTGTAGCACCTTTGTATACGAAGAAGGAATTCATTGGAGATATTACCTCTTGATACAAAAATCGAGAGAACCCTTCAGAATCTTAGAAGAGTTGCAAGACCTCAATCTCCACCAATGGCGGATCAACAAGCTCAAGTTCTTCCGAGGCCAAGAACAATGGGTTCTTACTCAAGGCCAAGAGTGAATAATGTTCAATCAACTATTCTTCATCCGACCTTGCCCAACAATGATTATGAGAAAAAGTCAGGCACGATTTCATTGCTTCAAAGTGCGGTTCAATTTAATGGGATGATGAGTAAAGATGCACATGCACATGTCAAGTCAGTTTACGAGTTGACGGATGGAATCAAGGTGAATGGGGTTCCTCAAGAGGCTATCCGACTAAGGTTATTTTAATTTATCTTGAATGGAGCGGAAAAGAAATGGTTGAATAATCAACCACATTAGTCCATCACCTCATGTGATGATCTATGCAACAAGTTCTTTGCAAGGTGTATTCCACCTTCTAAGACGGATTTGATGAGAAGTGAGATTACTAAGTTTTGTAAAGAAGAGGATGAACCATTGTTTGAAGCATGGGAAAGGTTTAAATCTCTTCTACTCAAGTGTCCTCACCATGGCATTGCTGATTGGTTACAAGTGGAAAGCTTTTATAATGATTTGACAAAGGAGCCACGAAGCCTCATTGATGCGGCTAGTGGAGGTGCCATTAGGAACAAAGAAGTCGTAGAACTTCAACAATTAATCGAAGAGATGGCCCTTAATAGTTACGATTGGGTTGACTGAAGAAGAGGCAAGAGCTTATCGAAGGGAAGTTTAATGAAGGTTGAAGAACCATCATCGTTAGAGGTTCATATTCAAGAATTTTCCAAAAAATTGATCAAGTTGCATCGTCAATGAAAGGCCATGGGAAGCCACTTATGAAATG